GTTACTCATGGAGGAACTGGCACTTATTTTGAGCTTTAGGAAGGACGTCACAGAACTGATAAAGGCTCTATTCTGTTTGTTGAGGCCCACATTTGTCAAGATTATACAGTAATATGAAAGGATGACCAAAGCTGTGCTCTGCTCCCACTCCCAAGCAATTTCATTACGAAAGGCAGGATTAGCCACAGAAGCTTGTGTGAACTCCGCTTAACCTTCACATACTTTCAGGAGAATCCTAACTCTACCAGGATATACCCAAAGCCACACCAACTAAAAATAGTGCTAGTCATTATCTTTCCTCAGGTTTTAATATAGATTTTTTTAACGAATCTCAGGGTTGGAGACAGGCATTAGAGTGAACTGGGTCAGCCTGGTTACTTTACTTTATACAGTTATAACACATCACTAAAAATGATGACTAATATGATGAGTACAAGATACTGATTGAACACATGCTTGTGTGACTCATGGGGACTTGTCATTGATTCAGCAAGCAGCTTAAATAGGAAATGTTGAATCCAGGTCAAACAGAATTCATCTTCGGTAAGTGTTTTATACGAGCATATCCTAGGATCACTGGAAAGGAGGCAAGAATACAACCTGGACCCATCACACCCTGGCACCAAGCACACACACATTCACGCACTCATTCACACCTAGGGGCAATCTAGAGTCACCAATCCACCTATTGGCATGTTTTTGGAAGGTGGGAGGAAACGAGAGAACCCTGAGGAAACCGGATCAAACTGTGTACCCTGGAGCTATGATGAGGCAAAACACTATCCACTGCACAAGCCAAACTGAGATTTAAGTTATCTTAAGTCAAAAACTTTCTAGTTCACAAACTATTTCACTGTTTATGTCAACTACCATCCAATCAGATCTGAGCACTAAATTAAAGCCACACTCACCATCCTCACTGGTGTGTGTCTCTGCACCTCCGTCCTGGTCCACTTCCTCAAGGACTCCATGCTCACTATAAGGACTTTCACTGCAGAGAAAACAGCAGCAGGGGGATAAAGGTCATGGCACTGAATATATTACACACATGACACAGTAGTTAAAAGAGTCACTAAAACAATTCAGCCAAGTGCTTTTAAACAGATCAGGTTTCAGTCGAGTCCTGTGCCAAGCAGGCACCAGGGGGCGCTGCAACAAACAGCCTAGCATTTCAAAAACGTAGATAAAATGACGTCAAATCTCCTAAAAAATAAACAAAAACTTAAATAGATTCACGAATCAAAAATTTATTTACGTGAACATTTTAAATTTGTTTTATTACGATCTTTGTCAGTTCTTTGTAACTGCATTGCAAATGTTTAACTTTGTTTCTCTGGCAGCCAGTCAGAATCAGTCTGGTGGAAAAATGATTGTGAAAGTTTAAATGCAGCAACCAGTGAAAATGACAATAGGTGAGACTTTCACATTAATTTAAATACAGATGAGTGCAAAAGTTTGCATCCCCCATGGTTTCTGACTGAAAAAAATGAAGTTGCACCACTAACATTACGTTTACAAAATGAATACATCTCAAGATGTATAAAATAAAATGTGGCTATATCCTACAACAAAACAAGATCCCAAAACACGAGAAGTTTAAGAAGTTGTTGTGTGTTGCTCCTTTTGGTCTCCAGACCTGATTTGAAGTTTAAATCACTTTCAGAAAGGGAGATTGACATGAGTTAATATTTTGTCTTTTTTCTTAATAACATAACATACACTGTTTAACAATTTGTGTTAGTTTTGATATTGAAGCAAACCTTTTTGCTATAAATTGCGTTTTTTGGTCTTCTTTTTGTCCAAGGAGTATGCAAACTTTTGCAATAAATGGTAGTGTGTCAGAAACCATTCCAAACTAAATCACAGATTTCTGATTACATTGATCTTATTGGTAATCTAGCTAATCTAGTTAATCTATTTTAGGCCGAATCTCCCTGAGTCTGCTGTGTACATTGTCTCCTGCTCTACACAGTTCAACTCCCAAAGTGCCACATATACGGTGGAGGAAGTTTTCCCACAGACTACACTTAAGATTCTCAGAGCATGTGTGTGGTGATGATGCATGATGGAGGCCATCATTAGTATTCTGGGGATTGCTGTCAGGGTGATTGTGATGCTCTCTGAGGTGCAGCGTGTGTTTAAAGTGGAACTAACGGCCATAATATCTGATACACACCACTCACTTAACACTGCCACCTATATGCCATGTCATCAGAGAGACAGAGAGACAGAGAGAGAGAGACAGAGAGAGAGAGAGAAAGAAAGGTTTTTGTCCACGTGTACGTGTGTGTGTGTGTGTGTGAGAGAGAGAGAGAGAGAGATAAAACAACTCTAAACAACTCAAGGACAGATGCAAAGAGATACGTTTGAACTGCTTCAGCCGTTCTCTGGAGAGCAGAGCTGTGGTGTTTTTTTAAGATGACAGAAGGATATGCTTTCCTCTCTCTTACACTCCCCCCCACCAAACACACACACACATACCTGTGGGATCGCACAAAGGACATTATGCCTTTCCTCTACTCCTCCTTAAGGTAAGGAGGAATTACCACCTTTTTGTTTTCAAGTATTTCTTACCTTAATGACTGTAATTTTCAGGAAGACTTTGGTCTGTCTCACCTAGCTGAAGCAGCCATGCGAACCGCTCACAACAAAAGCGTCCTGACCCGTCAAAAGCTCCTACTACAGTCACCTCATCATTTCATCTAATTACCTACACAGACTCTGGAGCACATGGCCTGCTGAGCTTCTACTCTCTCTCTCTCTCTCTCTCTCTCACACACACACACACACACACTCCTCAACCTATTTCTTACAAAGACCTCTAACGCTGAGCCTGTTTCAAACTCCTGCAATCCTAAAAAACACACTTAAACATCTGTTGAATGAATTAAAGCTGAACTCAGCACTATGTTTCATACCCTATACACAACACACAAATCAAAAACTAATCTAAACCTCTAAGCCATGCTGCTCTCCATCAGTAGCACTGATCCAATCTTTACTGTGCCAACGGAACAGATGTATTCAGCCCACGTCTCTCACCAGTAGTCTCCTCCAGCCATGCATTTCTCGTACACAGGACCGTCTAGCTCCTTGGCATCAGGAAAGATGGTCTCGTGGTGGATGATGATGGTCTTGATGACCTCATTGACGTGGGCTTGGCAAGACACCTGGTCCTGGGTGTCAGGGGTGGGCATGAGGGTGGGGCCGAAACAAATGGCCAGGTTGTAGGGGTCCATCATGTTCTCATCGCTGTACTGGGACAGACTGCAAATGCACAGTGGGAAGCAATGAGGAAGTTTGGAAATTGGAGAGTGTTACATAAATCATGAGAAGTATTATGGCAGGCATTAAATATCTCACATAACTATCTCAAACACATAATGCTATTTCTAACAGACATCCTCTTGTGGGTTCACATACATGTGGCTGCAATACAAATACACGTACTCTATGTGTGTGTATTACCGAGCATGTTGTGTAAGGTCATGAGGGTGTGTATTCAGACTTACTGGTTGAGGAAAGCAAACAGGTAGCGCATGACTATGAGGACAGATCTGGGGACTGTGAGGAGGATCTTACGAATGTACAAGGCTCTCTCATACAAGTTATCTATTCCTGAGAGACAGAGAGAGAGAAACAGAGAGAGAGAGAAAGAGAGACAGAAAGGGAGAGAGAGATCAAACACAGATCAGTCAATGCAAACTCAGAGTTGAGAAGCTGAGAAAGATTAAGCTCAAATTCCCAGTTAAGAAGTGTCTGGTTTTAGAAACATTTGAATGTGCAAAAAAAAAAAAAAAAAAATCCTGCATCATAAGAGCTGGCTTTGGATTTTAGTCACTGTGACACTTGACTGTAAGGCTCGTGGCATCCCAGCAGCTCTTTATATTCCTAATCTGAGTCCTAGCATGTGGAAGTGTTACCTGAGTCATCAGCACTGACATATCCATTCTTTTATGAAATGTTCCAAAAAAAAAACAGCACATCAGTTGTCTGTTATTTTCAGGTATTGGGAAGGTATCTTACTTACATACCATGGCCACTTACCAGCATTAAAAATTGTTTCAGTGATAACTGAATTATATAACATATTAAACTCATTGTTATTGTATATAGCTAACTTCCTAGTCCCCTACATCCACAATCCCCTATACCAACAAATTAAAACTGATGTTAAAATCCATGGCATTTATTTTCCTTTTTTCATGTAGCTGCATATGAACAAAGCATAAATATAGATCTAGCCTAAACTATTATTATACATTAATATATAACTATTATTTACATTATAACTTCTTGTCATAGTTACACAATAGGAAATCAGGAGCATCATTTTTAAGTTGATCTACTTTAAAGGTATCCGGATATAAGGAATTGATGCAGAAACTGTCAACCAATCAAAAGTTGCATCAATTATAATTACATGACAGCATTGTTGAATTCTCAAATATGATTGGTCAGAAGGTGTTGAAAAGTTTCTATAACAGCAGCTCTGACATTATTACAGCAGTAATTCAAATCACAGGTTTCTATGTGCTTGTTCTAGTATAATTTCCATACTAACAACTCATTCATCCGTACTTGATGTTTTTTAACAAGGAAAAATGTATATTCATTGATATGATGAGGCTTTCTGTTACAAGACATTTGTTTAACATTTATGGAAGGAGTCTCCAGTGTCAGAGCAGTAAGTTTTCCACCACTTGAAACTCTTCAGGAGGAATTTGAGTTTTCTTGGTTTGTCGGTAAGATGTGTTTTGTCTTCAAGACAGAGAAAATAGAGAGGGAGAAAGACTGTTATAATGTAACCAGTGCTGTTGTTCTTCTTTCGACTGCTCCCGTTAGGGGTCGCCACAGCGGATCATTCGTCCGCATATTTGATTTGGCACAGTTTTTTCGCCGGATGCCCTTCCTGACGCAACCCTCCACAATTTTTATCCGGGCTTGGGACCGGCACTGTCACGTGCACTGTCTTGTGCAACCCCAGTGGCTGGGGTTGGTTCCCTGGCCAGGAATCGAACCCGAGCCACAGCGGTGAGAGTGCCGTTGCCTAACCGCTAGTCCTCCAGGGACCCTGTTATAACTTAAGCAATAACAGGAACTAATTTGTCTTATGGACTTTCCACTGCATGTAACTAGAAAAAGATAAAAAAGCATGACGTGTTGTTCATTAAAAAATAAATAAAAAATCGTAATCTTTGGAAAACTGGTGTGGTATAAAAGAAATAAAACACTTCAGAAAATAATGCAGTTCAGTGTGGTAACATATCATATCATATCACGTCACCCTGGTATGGATTATTTTCCTATAATATTTTCCTATAATGTACCTTATATTTTAAATACACTTAAAGGACCCTATATATGAAAACATGGAACCATTCTGTTCCTCCAACATAGCCTAATAAAATCTATAAAAACATAAAATTAAAAATCAGTTGTAAATTATTCACTATGATAGACGTCTCCTCTGCTTGCAGCATATTAAGCAGGCTACAGCCATCTGGTATTCTTTTGTAGGTTTCAGGTAATAAAAAAGCTCAAGAACTCGAGCTTTATTCTCAGTAGTCTTCAGTCACAGCATTCACACTGAAACTTGTCATGAATCGTGATCTAATTACAGAGGATAGCCAGCCATTTCAACATTACACTTTCAATAGAACATTTAATATCTGTGAACAAGGGAGTGAGAAGGACAGAGCCATGCTCAATCACACTCTCGTTCCATTCTGTTATGGTGAATGGCATGACATTCACGAATAATTATTCAGTCCTGTCCTTGTACTACAATGTGTCAGCAATGGCACATCAGCAGCTCTGCATATCTAATGCCACCTCTCTATCTGAATGTGCCCACTCACACCTGCTATAAATAAAGTGGGATCAGATTTATGATCGGGTTTTTATGCTACCGCCAGTGAACTGAACCCAGCTGTGCAGACGTATATAATATGTACATAACACGCTGCCTTTGGTATAAAATAACCCTGCATCATTCTTAATTCCAGCTGAGTTTGGGGAAAAAAAAAAGTGTGAACGTGCTACAGTTTCACTGTGGGATTGAGTGCAGTGGAATCTGACTGGTTTCAATTAGCACACATGCGGAAGTCTATTCAAATGCACTTGGCTGACAGAAACTAAATCCTACGTCCAGCTCAGCATGCCTGAATTTTCGCCCTGTCACACACAGATGCAAAGTTTGCTACAAAGTGACAAAATGGGCACTGGAGAAGAACCGCCTTTATAGAGATCCATGTACATCATTCGCTTTTAGACAGACACACAATCTGACGTGTACTGGAGCGGAAGCATTCAACTTATTGGTGCCGCAGATCAACACAATGCATCACTGCTTATAATCCAATACTGTAAAACATCTTCCTAATTTCTAGCTTTTTCTATTTCTGCCCTTTGGAGAATAATAAAATAAAAATATTTATTTTATGTTCAACTTGTGGGTTTTATTTCTTTGTCTTTGAGATTCTTGACCTTTCCTCATAAAACAATCTGGATCTCTGCAAAACTTTTTCTTGAAGTGAAATTTTTCTGTCTTTTTATGTTTAGAAAATAAGTGTAAGTAAAGGAATGTCTAAAGGCATTAGATTTACAACCTTAGTGTCTTCACAATGGAATATTCATACCGATATCAATATTTTTTCCAAAATGTTTTCTGAATTTCCAGTGATGTGTAGGTTTGACCTAGTCTTACTAGATTGGTTTATTTGTCATTTTATTTCCGTAACTGGGTTTTGGTATTATTTATTTATATTTGAGATGCTTGTTTGAATTTATGCATGCTTTATTTAATCTTACTGGATTCTATTATTTCTTTACGGCAGCTTTATTTTAGATTTTTGGAAGGAGTCTCCAGGGTTAGCACTTTGTAACAATCAGAAATAAAGCCGTATATCTGTAAGTCTAAGAACAGAGTTCAGAGTCGGAGGATGATGCCTTTTGTGGTTTTTCATTCATATTTTTTGTCTTACTAGCTTCAAGAGAAAGAAAAGAGGCTGGTAAGGGAATGACCATGTTTATGTTTTAACAAAAATTATCTAACTTGTTTCATGGATGTTCCACTACTTTAAATATGTAACTATGTACAGTACGTCTTGTCTCTCCTTAAGAAATAAAAATGATCACTGGGTAATTGCTGTGATATAAGAGGAATAAAACACTTTGGGGCGTGCCATTATAGGGCATGGTAACAGTAACTCCTCTTTGTGGCAGGATGCAGCACACCACCATGTTGTTGATTAGTTTCCTATAACAGCACATAACACAAGTGTTTTATTCCTTATTTGTTCCATAATGCTTTGAAACTAGTTTTGATTTTTTAAATTAGTTGTTAACATGTGACACCCCTCTAGAAATAGGACAGTAGTCTCAGAATGACTTCCCTGTGTAACAATAAAAAATACACAGGCATTCACACTTCCATACATGGACATATACTACACATGTCCAAAATTCAGAGGGTGCACAGATACAGCCGTACAGCACACACTGAATAATCTAAAAAAGTATCTCAAAGACCAGCCATCCAATATGAGACAAATGGAAGGTGATTAATTAATCAAGCAATTCACAGGTATTCTTTTAATAATGCAGTCGCCTCTCTCAGCACCTCTCACCTTAATAAAGCTGATTATTAGAGCAGAGAAAGAAGCGAGGTCTGGAGCTCTTTATTAAAGCAGCTTTGAGTTTAACTGGCAAAAATAGCATCTATAAAAAAGGTGTCAAACAGAATGTTTCACTTTTTACAGCTCTGAGCTAAATAATAGAGTTTGTCTCTTTAAATGTCTGCTGACTCAGTGAGCACTTCACTGTGGTGCTACGATGGGAGATTACAAGGCACAAGATGTGCCGTACTTCTGTGCCTGCCACACACACACATACACGCATACACGCAGGCAGGCAGTCAGGCAGGCATGCACACACGCACACACACACACAGGGGATCTGTGCTCATCCATATCTGCCCCTGCAGATCCTTTCATCCGCTCATAGCGGCTTAAAATAGCCATGTCACGGTAAAAAAAACAAAAAAGCTGCCTGCTGTGCCTTCTGAGAGATGGGCTTTTGGGAATTTGCCATGCCACATTACTTTGTCTTACACGTGCCTGCGTGTCTGACTTGCATATTTCAGAATGAGAGACACACCAGCTGGAAGCCTGAAGCTACACAACAGACTCTAAACTCTGCCACAGTTCTCATTGCAACAACTCAGACTGGATATATTTAGAGTGGAAAGAGCAAGGAATTTAAATTAGCTAAGAGAGCTAGGCTGTGTGTGTCTGTACGTGAGTTATGAGACAGAGAAAGAAGCAGAAACAGGCTGAAAATTAAACACAGCAATACAGAGAATTTCTTTCTTGCTGCTATGAACTGACTCAAATAAACGCACAAGAAAATAATAATATACTGTATTATAGAGCATGAGACTGAGTGAATGAGGGAACGAGTGAATGATAGTGAGGGAGGAGTGTGGCATGCAGCTGCCCGAGTTATAGGCCAGAGTTCTGACAGCAGGGGGAAGAGACGGGGTGTGTGTGAACAGCAGGGAATCCCTATCAGTCACACTGACTGACCAGCCTACACAGAGACTCCCACCCTACTGCAAAAATTCTGATACACAACCACACACAAGTTCTAACAAACAAACTCTCTCTCTCTCTCACGCACACACACTCACACAACAAATATCCATTAACTCATAACCACTTCGTCCATTAAACGCCCCTTTATACCCCAACACAGTTTCCCTTACACTAAATAATCCTGAAATCAAGCAGAGAAATAAAAAAGCTCTCTGATCACGCAAAACCGTCTAAACCAGCAGATCGACAATGTGCCATTCACTCCAGCACAAAGCCGAGCTGATGTGGTTATGTGTCACGGCATGGATGGACACACTGCTGCATAGTGAAGCTGCCAGTGTTAGCCTGAGGCTACAGATCTGCAATAAATACGACCACTGTTTCTGCTTTACTGAGGAACTAATGGCTTTATTTACTGAGAGCTTTCACTATGAGAACAAAAGACTAATGGCCTAGGAATGAATAAAATTCGTCAACACTGATATGATGAGAAATATACCACACACAGCACAGGCTGCACGAAAACAACTAATCTTAACTTATTCCCGCTCATCACACTTACAAAGAACTCTATGGAATTGCATTTGATTCATTCAATCATTCTTCGTCAGTATCTGCTTTATCCTGCTCAGGGCTGTGACTGATCCGAAGCCTGTCTGTGAAACACTGAGATGCCAGTGCAGCACACACACACACATTCACATATAGGGGCAATTTAGAGTAGCCAAAACCATAGTAGACGGTGACTAAAGTGCAGGTTCGTATGTTCGTATGTTCGTATGAATCCAAGGTTTGACCTTGGATTCATTTCTCCCATCATTTTAGTTTCTCCCGTTTTCTGATTTTTTTTTTAATTTACTGTTATGTGGTTTGGATTTTAACTAGAAATGACACGATATCACTTGTTCTTTTCTGATACTGTTACTGTCAGTGAATCTTTGTGAATCAGCCACTATTGATATGCATCCAATATTTTTTCTTATTAATTAAAAACTACTAAACTTTAAAATGATTTTTTAACTGAAGCACGTAAAAAATACAGGAAAAAATACATAGCTAAAAACACGACTTACCCAAAACTGCAGCTTTCAAACAAAAATGATGTTGAAACTATAAATATAATAAAGATCAGTCTTAAATAGAAAAAAAATAAAACTTTATATGTAATCATTCACAGTTCTAGCAAAATGTTTTCCAGATCTTTTCCAATTCCATTTTTTTCATTTGTTACACGATTGGATCAAGTTCAGTCTTGTTTTCTCTGAGATCCGATCCAACACTTTTTGCTGATACCGGACCAGTAGTGATCCCGGGTATTGGAACAGAGCCATTTCTAATTTTAACATTTGTATTCTTAAATACTCTCACTCGCTCTGAGTTAAATTAGCATCAAATTAGCAAAACTGCTCAAAATGTTTAATGCTCAGAAATGTTATAAAAGAAATAATCTTCCTTACATCTGCAGATTCTGTGCA